TAGACAGGAAACAGGAAGTTGTGGAATTGAAACCAACCACGAGAAACAAGATCATAAGCAGACCAAGGCCCAATCCCAATTCTATTTTATACCCCTTCCCCTTTCCTTACCCCTCCGCCTACCCCTTCCCCTTGTCCCTTGAAACAGAGTGTCAAGGGGTAGGGGTGAAAATATCCCCCTAAGAATTGGGACACCACTACTATACGTTACACGTCATCATACGTCGTCTAGCTCCTACAGTACACACCTATACTGGTGTGCTGGTGTGTGCATTAGAGCCTTTAATTACCGTTCAGTTCTATATTAATGTGCTGCTTACTGACACACACACACACACACACACACATCAGATATCGCACAGCTCACCCATCCAGGAGCAAAGAAACTTGTCAACGCTGCCCCACGACTTTTATTAATAACAGTTTAAATACTGAATCGCTCGTTATATTTTCCAGCAACTAGAGGATAATATCGCTGTTTTTGAAATAAACTCACTCTAAAAAGAGAAACGCACAGACACGCACACACGCAACTTTCATCTCTCTCTCTCTCTCTCTCTCTCTCGAATTGGCAATAGTTCAGAAAAGGGTTTAGTGATTTATAATTATTGGGGGTACTAGCCCTCCTCAATGTCTATGGTGGTTATTATCGCCCTGATCAGACATGAAAATATGTTGTGGCACTATCGTGTAGTCAGTAATGATATGACGTTAGCAAACTTTAGTGATTTTTTGCAAACACTTCTTTGAGTAACATGACCGTAAATATGAACTGCCGATTGAATGTTACATAAAACAAATGCTAACTTTTTGTTAAAATCTTTATTAATGCCAAAAATGCTTACATTTATGTGTCTTTTTGTTCGCTTGGGCAGCCATGTTGCCGCTGAAGCCGGTTTATGCTGAGATAATTCATACCCCTTCGTTTGAAGTGTGGTCCCCGAAAAATCTTCTTTGAAGGGCTATCTGGCCCTTCCCCTACCCCTCCAACCAAAAGAGAATCGAGACACCCCTACCCCTTCACGTGAACGCGCAAAACGGAGGGGTAGGGGAAAGGGGAAGGGCTAAGGGGTAGAATTGGGATTGGGCCCAAGTGTGTTATTATACTATTAAACTCAAGTGTAGGTGTGATTAAATGTGGTTTTACAGCTTGAACAAAATTCCAATGATTAGGAAGTTTAAAAAAGTCCTTTTTTTATGATCAAAGATTTAATTATTTGATATATGTTCATGGTTTGGACATACTTATGTAGTATGTAAAGCATTATGGCTTTATAATCTTATAAAAGTTAAAAATGGATACAAACAGTGGGGCTCAAATCTCGTATTCTAAATGTCATTTAAACCTGGAAACAAGTTTGAAATGTTTTGAAATGTAAATATTAATTGTTATTTAATATTTCTAGGTCAGTAATGATATGTAAGAACATTTGTGATATTGGCTTGGCCCCTTTAACCCCTTTACCTTTGTTCTTTGAAAGAGGCTTTTTGGAACATTTTAAATTCATGTACGTTTTTCAGTTAAACTTTTCATTCAAATTGTTTTATGTCAAACAAAATAATAAAATAAAATAAAACAAAATAAAATAAAGATTTTTTTAACAGGCATTTTTGCTAGTAGACTTCTGTACCCCATTAAAATGACATAGTAAGGCCTTGATTTGTTGTCTGAGGGTGTGTAAACAGATTCTCAGGTTGATGACAAGAATTTTGGAGAAGTGTAGCAGACACTGGGTCATTTTTATATGAGGGGCTGAGGGAGAGAGATTTAGGGATACAGCAATACAGTACAGAGATTGTTCACCGGTGTGTGAAGTGCATCCTGTTTTTCAGGGGTTTTGCTGTTTTCTGTGAAAATCCAGCCATCTGTCACTACTAAATGTTACTGATATTTGAAACCCTTGTGTTTATTCCAGTCTAGGTTAACAAATTAAAACTCTGAATAAGCTAATGGAATCCGAACCTTAGAGTTTGGCTGGACTTAGATCAGGGCGATTCATTCAATACTCTGACCTGATTCACATTGAGTGGTGTTTGTGCTCAGGCCTGGGAATGTAGATCAATGCATGAATTCACTCTTAAAGTCTTAAAGCACTGAGAGTGTATAACAAGTAACCTACAGCAGAGGTGGGAATGCACATGTATCGAGTGCATCTGATGTGTGTACAGGAGTCAAAGATGATATAAACAATGGTTAATGGATGTGGGGCTTCTGTGTAATGCATCTCTAATGTGACCTGTGTTCCAGAGAGCCTGCAACATGATCCTCTTTTGCTGCACAAAGACTTGTCTGTGAATCATACTGTTGATCAGTGAGTGTGTGTATGAATAAAATGAGTGTGTGTGTCTGTGTTTTGGAGGGGTTAGATTCTCTCTTATTTTAAATCAGAGTGATTATCATGCAAATTAAGAGTGTAGACATGATCAAATATGTATAATTTTGATTTGTGTTTGCTTCAGTTTAGGACTTTAAAACATAGTTGGATAGTTGACAATCATTTTGATTTTATTTTTATTAAGATTTCAGAGTACAAGTACAATCCTGTGTGAAAACCTGTGCCAAATAAATATGTGACCCCTAATGTGAGCCGAAAAGGGAGTGTTTTAAGTGCTGTTAAGTCTTTTTTTTTAATTTTATGTTTTATTTTAGATTCTCGCCATTTTAATCACCTGGTTAAATTCAATAGGCTTGCAGTGTGACAAATGTGTTCATAAATGAAATGAAATGCATTTAAATGTTACATGTAGTAAATAATCCATGTATATGGATTTACATTTATTTATTTGTCTGTTTGGCCTGGCCTTTTACAAAATGCTTCAGAATGTATTTAATCTGCGTTTAAAGTGCTCTGTGGTTAATGTAGTTCAGTTGAATAGGCTTATTTAATTTTATCTTATCTTATCTTATCTTATTTTATCTGGAAAGAATAGTGGTAAAACCAGTAAAGTCAGAACAATCACTTAATTTTGGCTCATTTTCCATGAAACAATAAGTCAATTAATTCTGTGGAAATTCACTATGAATCTAGAATTACCCTTTTAGTTTGCAACCACACACACACACACACATATATACACACATGTTAACACTTTACAATACGTTTCCATTAGTTATTGTTAGTAAATGTATGAACATGTCTGAACTTATCCTTAAGACCCAGCTGGTATAGTCGATTAATTGAAAACATGTTTATTTTTTTAAGATTTGTCAAAGTACTGATGGCACAATGATAAATGATCAGGGTGTGTAGCCCAGTCTGGAATCACCTCAGCATTTTAATTTTATTGACATGCTGGGTGTGTTTTCTTTGATTTTAAATGTCAAACCCTGTACGTTTCAAGGAACATAATCTTGGTTTGAACAATTAACTTGTTCACTGTGGCAAGTAAATAATTTTAGGTGGCGATTTATGATCGCAGATTAAAAACAGATTGTACTGGTCTGTGCTCTAACTACTTTTGTTGTTTCTCAGGCTGCAGTACACACTGACAAGGTGAGCCTACTGAAGGAGAAGTCTGCCACTGCAGAGAACGGATCTGTCCACACTGATTCAGTCAAAGCAAAGCCACAGGTGACTGCTGACGAGGAAGAAAAGCCGCAAAGGCAAGAAGAGGAGGATAAAGAGGAGCTAGAGTTTCCTCATGATCTGCTGGCCAGCATAGACCTTGACCTCAGCACTGAGCTCAGTCTCACCTGGGGAATCTCACTTGGGTAGGTCTCAACAATTTCTCTCTCACACACAAACACATCAATTACCTCAGAGGCCTGTGCTGAGGAGCAGACCTGTCATCTGATCTAGGGGCATGTTTCAACAGGACGGCTGATTCTTTTGAAAAGTTGTTCACATCTGATGCAAATTTTTTTCCACCTTCCGGTTATGTTTTGCATACTGGTAAACAAAAAAACTAATTTGCAAGATTTTCATTCTGGAAACAAAAATAGAGATTAAAAAGGTGATAATGGTTCATGTGTCTAGTGTATTTAAAGGTATGTTTTATCCAAAAACGAATTTTCTGTCATCATCATTTATTATTATCATTCCAATCCTAAATGACTTTCAAGAGCAGATATTTTGACAAATGTCTCATACAGGTTTGAAACGACATGAGGGTGAGTAAATGATGACAGAATAAAAATTTTTAGATGAACTATGGAAGTTCAAATTCAAGAAAGTTCAATGAAAGTGCCATAAAATTGTGAACTTACCTGGGAGTTGAGGACGTAAAGAATGGAGCAAGTTCATATCAGTCTTGAAGCCACAGATTAGATTGGACTCTGATACTCGCTCCCTCGTTTATGCCTCGTCTTACTAAGTTTCACAATCAAAGCAAAACACAGGACTTATTATATGAAGATCCTTCCTTGTACTTGCTTGGCTGGATAAACACAGAGTGAATTTCCATTAATCTCCGACCCGTTCCTATGGAAAACTTGACTGAATGGACAATTGGCAGGCCTACAAAAGAGCTGCGAACCTTGCCAGCTGTTAAGGTGGTAGAACCCAGACACACTCGATTTATATGATTTAATGGAGGTAATGCTAATTAAAATGAAAGGCTTGTTTGTAGACATCAGTATTTTACATTATAAATTATATCATTTATACATTTATTATCTATTATATTTACTGTGTAGTAAGTGTATATTACAGCAAGAGTTTCTATTACAGCAAGAGTTTCTCCAAGTAATTTCTACCGAATAAGTTTCCATCTGTAGACATATGACAAGTTCTAGGAATAAAAGGACAAAATCTGTGAATGTTGTGAATTTCACATGAATAAATCTTGCAATGCATCACCATAGCCTGATAGTGGACAAAATGTTTGTTCCAAAATTATTTTGATAAAACCTGTCTTCTTAGATTTCTTTTACAGCTTGATTAGTAATTGAATCTCTAATTTATGAGGCTCATATTCATGGGTATTTATTTGTGTATGTGTGTGTGTGTATAGTTGTGAGCAGGGGAGCTGGTGAAATGAAGAATGAGGCTGTGGCACTGGGTGGCACTGCCAACCCTCTGCTGGCAGGCCTAGAGCACTACATAGGGGCCAGTCCACCAGTAGTGGGCCTCATGAAGAGGTAACAGAGGAATAATTAAAATGGAGACAGAGAGATACCAGTCTGGCATAATAGACAGACATTGTTAATTTGGCCAAAGTGTATTCATGTTTTTATAAATATAATAGATTTTGGTGAGATCTCTTTTGCTCCATGTTGTGTTTTGGGTGTGACTATTGATATGTGCTGTGTAAATGGAGTTCCAGTAAGCACAAAACATTTTTACTTTTTTAAATGTTGAATTTCAGTTGCAGTTAAGTTACTTTCTTGAACAAGTTTAACAAACATCACATAAAAATGTAAAAAAAGAAAATAAGAAAAACTGTGTAACCATTTTTATGTATTTGGATTACAAAAAAGATCAATACCAAACAGCAACTTTGAGAGAAAAAAAATTCAAGTTGTAAATACCGGTACATCTTGTTTAAGAAACATAAACATATCTACCTAAAGTAGCCTAAATCAATGTCACATGCTTTTATGTTTTACAAATATGGAACAAAACTCTACCAAACTGTTTTATTTAGGTTTATATAATGTAATCAGTGCATTTAAATGGAACAAGCTTTAAAAAATGAAGCAAAAAATATTTTGTGTTTATATCATATTATGCGTTTAAATATTTTGTGAACAAAATGCAACAAGAAGCAGCTTGCTTTTTAATGGTAAACACATTTAAAAATGTCTCAAAATCAGGTTGGACATGGTAAAGACAGGTATAAAATGTTTCTGAAACATCGTTAAAAAATGTAATTTTTAAAAATATATAAACATTTTATTTACATACATGAATACATCATCTGTTATGTTAAGTATTTAACCTTTTTTAACTGGAAAAACATTTACACAAATGTAGTTGTGCTAGCTGGGTTAGTGGTCTGTTGAACATGGTTGGCTTTAAAGCTGGTTGAGTTGGTTTGCTGTGAACTAAACTAGCATTGTTTTTGGTTGTGCTTTGATCGGGGAGCTGACATGACTCTTTAACACGCATGAGATAAAAGTGTATGGTTTACCACACTAGATCAGCTTGAGAGGTGTCCTCCTTAACAGGAAGCCATGTTTGAGTGTGGTGTGCATATATTTGCGGTCGTTTTGTGTGTGTGTGTTCATTTTTTTTTTGTCATGTTGAGAGAGTTATCAACACATTATTACATCTGGCTGCAATTGCATAGACTTGTGCGGACACCGACAGATGAGATCTACATTCATACTTGACCTACTTGACATGTTTTAAGGGTGTACTTCATGTTAGTTTCTTTCAGCTAAATACGACTAAATCATGTTAGAGTGAACTGTATGTTTTTATACTATTTATGTTTTTAGTAATATTAATATTTATATATTCTAGATTGTGTTTTTATGCTAGAAAGGCGATAGAAATGCTCAGGCAAGGGCAGAGTATTGTGGGTATTGAAATTCTGCCTGACAGTGCAGTAGGGAGTGGCTGCAGTTCTGTAATTCATTCAGACATGCAATATGCCAAAAGACCTCAAGTAAGTTTTAGCACATACAAGCATAATTGCTGTAACTTAAACTGCAGTACAGCTGTCTGACTTTCCAGTTATGCCAGAGAAGGGTTCTAAACTTTTTTTCTTGTCTCCTCTGATTGGGAGTGTCAGCTTCTAGTCATAATCACTTATTGAAAAAAAGAAAAAGGCTCCGTGGTTGAGCCTGTCATCATCCAGATCAGCAAGTTGGCAGATCACATGAGTGCTGTGGTCCAATCAGAGAGAAACCCATGAGGATCTGCTTTGTCATTTGTTTCCATTTGAGGTGAAGGTGATTGATACATTTTTAGTCTAAAATGACAGGCAAAAATGTGTTAGCAAAGCTGTCTCGGTTCTGTTAATGCCCCAGGAGGCACAGAAAGAAGCACAAGGTGAGACAGGCAGTGTGGGGGAAGCGTGGTTGTCATATTAGATCAGCTTAGGCTACTTTTTGGGATGTTAGTCACTGACTGTTTTTCAGCTCTTAAACGTGATATGCAGAGTCATAGTAATTCACCAGGCTCTATGATGTCTGCCGTAATAAGGTTGCTAGCAGGTTTTTTGGCTGGTGTTCATACGTATAGGTAGTCAGTTACACTGGGTCCTTAATGGGTGCTAAAAGCATTGAAGCATTAACCTTGCTCTAAAACGGCATGTGATTTTTCTGCCAAGTCCATAAGACTTTAGGCTATGTCTTTATGAAGGCTTTTACTTAGCAGCCACTCTCATTTCACCTTTTCAAATTTACAAAGATCTTGATTATATAATCTCATTGAAAATGTGATTTATACTATTCATAAATTTGAAATGATGAAATTAAGTGGTTTACCCAATGGGAAAATAAATAAATAAAAATCATGGCACTGTGCATAGTAAACCCTTTTTTTTTACACTGAAGAAAAATATTTTTTAGTTTCTAATTTAAATGTCTAAACATCCTTAAAACAAGGTTGAAGCAGAATTATAATAAAAATACTAATTTTCATAGAATATATCTTGAATAAAGTTTATTAATTCACTAAAGTAATTCAGAAAAATTTGTTAGATTTATGTTTAAAACAAAAACACTGTCACAGAGATATGAAGTATAATCTTAATTCAAGATATATTCTTGAAAAAAAACAAGTATCATCATGTAATTTACCTTGTTTTAAGATGAAAAAATACTGATTAAGAATAATGATTATTATTTTTTGCTGTGTGTGTTTTTGTTTTTTTATGCTTTTAAAGCGATTAGTTTTGCCTATGTGTGAACTCTCATGCTGTCTCCGGCATGAGGTGGAGTGGAGTGCTGTGGCTTGGTGTGGAATGAACAACTAACTGTTTCTCAGAGCAGTTTTATTCTAATGTATATTTTTTGGTGAACATTGATAGCTGTGATGGTGACCAAGTTTCTACTGAGAGAGCATCACTGACCCAAGCCCACTTGTCTAGCAAATCTCAGCAACATGTTCCATCCCTCAATCCTTTGGCTGCCCAGATGGATTATGAACTCCAGGAAGCTTTAAGGGAATGTGAAGATGAAATGGCTGCTCTTGGCATATCCTCCCATGCAGACACATGGACTACAGGTGATCTGGACAGGTGTTTCTCTGTAACCGTGCCTGAAAGTTATGAGAAAAATCAAACCGAGAAAACTGAAGTCAAAAAGGATTTTGGTTCATCTTCACATAAACCTGCCAAATTTCATGAAGGTTGCCATGGAAATGATGGAGCGCACACAAATGACTCAACAGCAGGTGAAGAGGGGGTGGTTAGCTTCAGAGATTATGTTCTAGGAAGAAAGCAAAGCAATGCATGTGCAGCTGGATCTGAGGATGTCAAAAACATTGAGGATATAACAGAAAACCACAGAGAAGAAGCAAGCCAGCTGTCAGAGGCAGAACAGCAAACAAAGTTAGAGATAGACGCAGCTGAGAACGTAGCTGGTCAACAAAAGACACAAAGCATAAGGACACTTAGGACAGGTACACAAACAACATCAGAGATTGATGCGGAAAAGGAAACACTTACCCAGGATCAATCAATACAAGATATCTGCTCTTTGAAATACACCCTGAAGGATGAGAGTCTACAAGATGAAGACAGAATAAATGTTATAGCACAGACAACCCAGAGAGAAACAGGAGTAATTCAAGAGACAAATCATTTGAATGAAGAAGATATAAGTTCTGCAAAAGCTACACAGATGATTCAGAACTCAGATGAAATAAAAATAGAGACACATAGTCAGTTAATTAGTGATTCACTAACGTGCCCATCCACACATACAGATAAACATTCTGGTTACACTTAGAAGCTAAAATAAGCATACAACCAAACATACAGAAACAGGTGGAGTCAGGGACACATCAGTGGATAAATGGACAGATAGAAACAAACACAAAAGTAGGATCAAGCCTTGACCATCAAAGACAGGAAATAGGACTCCCAGAACAGCTGAGTCCTGAGGATAAACAATTGATATGCTCCCCACCTCCAGAACCTAAAGCTCATCTGTCCCTGGCTGAGGCTCCACCTGCTCTGTTACTGGACTCCCCACAGGGGCCTGAGCAAAATGATGTCCAGGATCAGACAGATGGACCCTGCAAATCAATATCAGAAGGTGAAACCATACACCACAACTACTGTACAATAGGGGACAAACATGACAAAAATGTGTCTGATGCATCTGCTGTTGTGATTGATTCCTGCCACGCTAAAACAGCCCCTGAACATGAGCCTGTAGGGAGATGTGACTTAGAGACATATCCACTGGAGCAGGAGAATGGACCTCCTTTAAGTGGTGGAGCTGGCGCACATGCAGCACTGTGGGGGAATTCACATGCTCTGAGCCGAGCCGGTGCAGAAGAGAGGGAGGAGGAAGAGAGTGCCCTTGAATGGGCTTCAGCAGAGTCCGCTGCCTCCACATTGCTACAAACAACACCCACGATGCCAGAAATGATAGAAAGCGAGGGAGAGAAGAAGAGAGATGATGCGTTCCAAAGTGCTGCAATAATATTACAAGCAGCAGAGAGAGAATCGGACGTGCTGGAAGCAGATGAATCTCCGAGCTCAGAGGAAACATTGAGTGAATTTATAGCTGAAAAGGGACAAAAATTCACCTCAGTAATTTTTCCAGACATTAAGTGCTCACCTGTTCAGAAAGAGGAGGCGACTGAGGAGAGCTGTGGCAACAAAATACCACACAACACAACGGAGAGTGAGAGGAAGGGAGGGGGTCTGCCGATCGCACTCTCCCCAGCCAGAGACAAGGATACAGGCACAGTCGATACAGAGGACAACGCTCTGGTCACCTATTCCTCTCCAGGCATCCTTGGAACTTGTGACTGGAAGGTGGAGAGTTCACAATCAAAGGAGAGAAAAGGAGAGAGCGAAGAGGAGGGGAAAAAGACAAGCGAAGGCGGAGCACAGAACGCAGCACAAGCTGGCAGGGTGTCACAGACAGAGGCGGCGACTGAGACGTGTCCATCCCACTGCATCACAGCATCACCAGCGGCAACACAAGACCAGAGTGATCTTATCCATCCTGTCACAGCAGGCACAGCCCTGTTTCCTCTGAGCATCAACAGAATAAACGACTGCGACTCCGTCAGCCCACCCCCTCCTCTTTCCCACATAAACTCTTCAAAGACAGACGCGCAGAGAGTGGAAAAGGCTAATCTGAATCCGAGCCCAAGTGCATCAGAAGCAGAACTGCCAGGCAGTGATAGATCAATTCCACCAGTAGTTTCTTTAGAAAACGAATGTCTCGCCGCGCAAGCCAGTGATCAACAGGTACAGAGCTCTTTACAGACTAGAACCGCAAGCTGTGACACATCCATCAAGACAGAGACACAGCAACAAAACCAAGAAACAACTTCTACAAGTGAAGACACATCTCAATCAACTAAGCTACAAGTAAACATGAAGGATATCGCCGCAAGTTGTACCAAATTGGAAGGGCATATGTCTCCAAAAGGTATGCAGAGCTCTTTTGAGAACCAAAAAGATACAACATTGAAATGCCAGATGACTGAATGTGCCTCTCTGCCCCCACTGATGGTATTTGAAAGTCTACATCATCCAGTAAAAGAGGCTAGCTTCAACTTTAAAGGTTTTCTCAGCATCAGCAAACCAGCACTTCCTCTTCAGACAGAATCAACCATTGGCCAGAGAAATACTGACCTGCATGGAACAGAAAATGAACCTACTGCCACTGAAGGAGGTAAAAAGGGAAAAAATGGAAAGCAGAGAGAAAAAGTGGAACAAGTGGAAATGCCATTTAAAGAGTCAAAGGATTGCAGAGAAATGACCAGTACATCCCAAATGCATGGTGAGACTACTGTAAAACTTGAAGAAAATGTCAATGCAATTATGAGTAGCTGTGAAGATGATGGAAAAGTGACAGATGAAACTCCTGATGTCAGCAAGAGAAATCCTGTTATGTTTTCATCACTGTCCGCTGCAGGTGAGACCACCGGTGTTACTGAAGCTAAAGACATGGTTAATGAAACTCTGGAAGATGCTGAAGTAATTAAAGAGAAACAAGAAAATAAAGAATGTATGAATGTTACTCAGATCACTCCAAATATTACAGATGAGTCAGCCTCCACTGAGAAGAATAGTGTTTTACTACAGGATGTATCTCCACAAGAGAGTCGTAACAGCAGCCCTGCTGTGGATGGTGAGCAGGCTGATATGCCTGTGTCTGAAGGAGTTGAACAAAGAAATACTGAAGTTCTACTTAACACCAAGGAAAAGCTGGATGAAGAGACTGATAAATCAAAGGGATGTGGGTTACCTGAAGCAGGTGATATAGAACTAACATGTCCAGGTAATTCAGAGAATTTTGTGAATGACAGTCGAGAGCAAAAGCCAGAAAAATGCACATGTGAAGTTGAGTCACAGGTAAAAACCAGCTCCATGTCTCCAGCAGCTGCCCCAGACATAGACAGCATGTGCCCTTGCACTCAACCAGACAAGAAATTCAACACCGAGCAACCTACTACAACCTCAGAGATGAAGTTTCTGTCAAAAGTAGATGAGTGTACAGACATGCTGACCTATCAGACTGAATCACAGTACAGTAATGAACTGATGAAAAATGATGCAGCGGATGCTGGGGACACAACTGTCCCTTCTCTTTCTTCAGCGGAGACTACAGTACCAGCACAAAGGGATCTTTCCTCAACCACCACACAAAGCACTAACAGTGATGCCGGGGATTTGACTGTCATTGTACTAAAGGCTCCAGGCCCAATGCTGAGTCACTGTGAGTTCATTAATGACTGTGATATTGCTGTAGCAGGACCCGGAGAAGATTGCAGTGTGAACTGTGTGTGTGATTCTGACACAGATATTGTAAAGAATATTACAGACAAAACTAATCAACAATCAGATGTGAATGAAGAGATGTTAAGATCTCAAAATGCAGATGATCCTCCCTACCCTGTTGGTGTCTCCACACAGGAAATTGTAGCATCATCTGGGTCCCTTCTGCTCACAACTGACAGGGCAGAAGAGGCAGGTGGTTCAACTCTAGTGTTAAAGAACCCAGATATTGTTGGAAATGCAAAGATGAAACAGAATGAAGCATCTAAGGGTATTGGAGAATTGGAGGATGTTAGAAAAGGGAAGAGTGAAGGACATTTTAATTCTATACATGAAAATGATTTATGCAATGCACCTACAAATGTTGCTACAGAAAATGAAGTAATTAATAAAGACACGTATGAAGAATTCATGCACGTGAAGGGGGAAGAGGACAACAAGAAAAGTGTAAAGGAAACCGAAGAAAAATCCAATGCAACTAGTTCCTCGCAGGAAGAAGAAATTGAACAAAAAAACGAAAAGCAGGGTGAAATGAAGGAGCAAGAAGTAATGCCTATTAAAAAGCAGAAGAATAGTCGAGAAGAGACAGATACCTCTGAAACATCCTGTGCTGATGAAATGCTTCATTATCAACCAGCTTTGACAGTTCAGCAAAGTCCTAATGATGAAATCAAATGTGATTCACTCCTGATGAACTTGGAGGACAATCTCGTTACACTTTTGACTGAGGAGCCTGTTCAACGTGTGTCTGTAGACAATGTAAAACTGAATAAAGATGTATCCAAAGGATCCAGGCAGGTGATAGGAGGAGAGCAAAACAGGGAGTGTGTGCAAGAAAATGAGGTACAAAATGTAAAATTAATTGCGGATAAGGACTGCAAAAAGAGAACAAATATATCTCAAGAACAGGATGAGGCTGCTGCAAAAGAAAAAGCTGATCAAACACAAGAAGAAAATCGGACATTAATAAATCTCTTCAATCTATCAGGAGAAAAAAAACTAGTAGATGAAACCATTCCACAAGGAAAATTACGGTGTAGCCCTATGCCTGATCCTGGTTTAACCTCGAAAGGGATTACAGAAGAGGCTCTGGGTTGTAGAGGGGCACTAACTGAAAAATCTCCTCCAGTCATTGATCAGACCCTGTCTACAGTGGTGAATGCTTCTCCTGAGAGAGATCACACACAAGATCCAAGAGGTTTGAACCAGTCAGATTTGGCATTTTCACAGTCCCAAGAGCTCCAGCAGCAACAGAAGTTTGTGAGTGCACTAGAAGCAGTGTTAAGTGTGAGTAAAAGCAACGTTTTAGAAAATGCTGAGACCAATAACAATGCAGATGCTGAGGCAAGTGAAAAGGAAGGGAAGGTGACAATGTATTGTAGTGCAGAGGCTCAGAGATCCCTAATCAGCACTTCAGAGAGTGCCACACTGGTGGGGGGCTATGACAAAGATGTTGCTGTGTACAATATATGTCTAGAGAATGAAAAGAATACAATACAAACAATCAATCTTAATGGTGGGAAAATTCCTGTTTGTGGTGAAAGTACTACAAGTGAAATTCAAACACAGTCAGATCCCAACTTGTCTGTAACAGCATCGTCAGCTTCTGAAACTTCAGAAGTCAAACGGGTTATAGAGGCAATAGAGGCAAAAGAGCCTGCCATCTCAGCATCACAGGAAAGTGTGAGTAAACATGCAGATTGTACCAAATCACAGGTCAGTGCGCACGAGCATGGGAATGTTTGTAACGAAATACTTGACACCAAGAAAGGCTCAGAATTTCCTGTAAATCACTCAAGTGGGTTCACTGTGATTCCCACCCTCTCACACCATGAAGGAAGACTAAAAACAGAAGAGAAATTTTTAGACTCTGTTACCCCTGGAGACACTGGAAACACTGAGATCAGTTCTGATTCAATGAGTGATGTTGCACAGATGTCTCCTGCAGGAACGTCCCGAATTCAGCAAGAGAAAGAGTTAATTTTTCAGCCCTCTGATTGCCAGATCTCCACCACCACATCCTCTTTTTCTGCTTCTATGCTCCAGAAAGGTATTAAAGAGGAAAAAGAGATAAGTGTGGATCAGGCCTCTAAAGATACACTAGAACCTAACACTCCTAATTCCACTCCCCAATCTGAGACAGCCAGCTGGAGGATGGAGCAGCTTAATAAGCATTTGTCAGAGCAATTCCCAGACGGTACCCAAAACACAGAGGAGCAGGATACACAGTGTTCTGAACAGCAGCTCATGCAGTTACAACATGTAGTAACTTGTTTGGACACTGAAAACACAATCAGTACTATGAAAGAAGAAGACACAGTTTCAAATGGCTTACAACAGCGAGAAGGAATTCAAGAAGAGATAAGTAAACAGATGGCGAATGAGGAACAGAACAAGGCCACTGAAAAGGATCACACAGAAATGTCCAAAGGGGCTGAACCTAAGGCTTCACAGTCTGTAGTGAAAGAAAACATCTCCAAAGAAAAGTTGGAGGAGCAGTCTTTATTTTCCCCTGATGAAGCAATAGTTGATAATGTAGACCAGCAAATTGAAGAAGTTTCTAATGGGACACTGACAGAAATGAAACCGGTTGTGTCATTGTTATACCCTGAGACCTCTGTCTGCTTAGTTACTGACCCCCAGGATTCCCTCCAGTTCCCTCCTGCAGTCAATCAACAGTCTAGTCAGCAGCCCACAAAGTCTTTTATCCAAAGTTTACGTCAAAACACCACAAATACAGTTAAAAGTAGCAGTGAGCCAAGTCCTGACATAGCAGATAATTCTCCTGGAGACATGGAATCCCTTCTAATCAATAAAGCAATACAGAAAGATGACAGTGAAGTTATTGAAGATGAAGTCAGCAAGGTGTCAAAAGCTGCAGATGTGTTGCTGGGTTCATGCACAGGAACAGTAGAGGTATCACAGGTTATCAACAGTTCAGACAGCCAAGTCCTAAGTGAAATCTTTATACATGAGAGGTCAGATACAGTCAACTCCTCCGAAGGTTCTGATTGGCTCAGAGCTCTGAAGGAGGCAGCCTCCATGTCTCAGATCATTCCAGAGCACAGAGATGAGACTACCTGTGGATCTACAGAAAACAGGTACTTTTCAAATTGATGTGTTTGCTTTTAAAATGAGAGACAGTGAGGCAAAATGACTTAGTTGCGCTCTTAGAATGTATGTTTTATGCTCTTGTGACATTCTGAGTGAAAATGGGGCCAAGTACAAGTACTACAGCCCATTATCTCCTGAGGGTGAGCTCAACAGTGACATCAACTCATGCCCTTTAGGGCAAGAAAGAATCCTTTCATACCCACACGCAAACAAACACTGGGCTTCTCATATTTGAGCGTGACACATACACTTTCATGCATACAGGCTTTAAGGCGTTTGCATTGAGACATACAGTAAGCATAATTTGTTCATCTGCTATTTCTGTTTATTTTCTCTCCAGACCATTTGAGATCCACAGTTTGCCTCAGGCTGAACTAGAATTCCGAACCCCAACTGAAGAATATTTTCCCCCTGCACCTGAAGAGAGTTTCCCCCCTGCGCCTGAGGAGAGTTTTCGCCCTTGGCCTGTGGAGAGTTTTCCTCCTGCACCTGAGGAGAGTTTTCCTCCTGCTCCTGTGGAGAGTTTTTCTCCTGCACCTGAGGAGAGTTTTACCCCTGTTACTAAGCAGACAGAAGAACCACTAGACTGCAGGTGAGACATCCTACATGCTCCTTATGCACTTTATGCACTTATGCAATAATCATGAAATTATTTAATTTATTTACCACTTTCTTGGTTTGTTATTGAGTTAGTTGCTACTTGCCACAAAGAAATCCTTCTTAAATGATGACTATTTAGACTACAGGCTGCAAAAATAGTTCTGTTTAGGTCCAGGGAACAACATATTTGATAGAAGGATCATGCAGTACAGTTGGGGGCGTCACTTTTTTGGAAATTTGTACAATCATTATTTGTCTGGATGGGCTAAATCTGATATTGCGTAATGCATTTTGTCCGTATTATTGCTTAAAGGTGGGGTAAGCGATTTCTGGTAGCCAATGTTGACATTTGAAATCACCAAAACAAACACGCCCCTAGCCCAAAAGTGTCTCGCCCCTATTTTGATAGCGCCGCCCCACACATACGTACGCAACCCAGGCAACGATTAGTTCTGTGACACAAAGCAAAACAAATTTACACCATGTCTACATCGGACGCGAGTGGCGCGGCGTGACAAAATACTATAGAACTCATAATCAGTGATGCTGTCTACACCATAGATATATATACATATCTATGGTCAACACTGGATGCGGCGTGGCACGACACGACAAATCCCAGACAGAAAACTGCTGCTGCGTTCTATTCATGACGTATTGACACAAATTTCAAATGATTTTCATCGGTCGTTTTGTCGCGTCCAGTGTACTAGACAGACTTTAGCTGTTGTGGCGCAGACACGGTGTTACTCACCTAGAAGAAACAAAGCAACCTTGGCGTCAGATCGCAGGCCTTCCGCTCCTTGAGTTCTCTCCAGTGCTGGAAAGCTGATTCGATATTTACACGGGTCCTACTTCTTGCCTTATTGCCTTAAGCCTTCGTTTGTTCTGCAGACGTTTTCCTCTTTTGTTTTTTATCCGCCATCTCTATCTTTCTGTCGCTCGGCTCGGCTAATGTTTGTCCTGTGCACTAACTCTCTCTCCTCCACATCATGAGTAGACATGCCCCTTACTGCTGATTGGCTACAAGTTTGTTTTGCTATTCGGCCCGAATCAGTTTTCTAAAGCGTTTTTGAAAAATTGCTTTAAAAAAAAAATTGTTACGTTGGTAATCAAAGACCTATTTGTTGAATTCTTTTAAAGGAAATGTTTAGTATGGAGCATTGCAATGTAAGCTTCCGTTAGGGGAATTTCTTATCCTCTCTCGTTTTGTCATTACTCCCCATTGCCTCTCTTTAGTCTATATCTGCTCTGTTGCAGCAGCCACAACAGATGAAAGTGGAGCACTTGGTGCTTGTCAGTCAGAGGTTTTAGCCTAGCCTAAAGAAAGATAAAAGGAAAGAGAGAGTGGTGGACAGTGATAGGGAGTGAGAATGAGGGGAAAGAAGAGAGAGGAACTTTGACTGTGTGCGTTTGTCCCAGTATCCCTGAGGGGCCCACTCTTTGTTTCTTGCCACAGATGTGGACTAAAGGAGTTTTGCATGTATCTGTCAGTGTGTGTGTGTGTGTGCGTGCACGTGTCTTGCTTAAGCATGCATATGTGTTTGCTATTTGCACCAACGCCCTCACATGAAGTCATACCAAGAGGTCTGTCAGTGTGGAACAAAAGCCATAGTTCAGGGCCGTTTCAGTTGAGAATATTACTCTGTGTGTATAGATAGATAGATAGCTACTCTCGAGACTCATAGAAAATGAGAGAGAGATACGGATAAATAAAAGAGAGCAGGAATGTGAAGTGGCTGCCTGAGGCATTTTGAGTGACTTGCCTAAAAGAATAGTCACACACTTTACTCTGGGTACTGATCTCGGGTGAGTTCCATACCTTCTTTGCTGTTTGAAATGTAACATATTTATTTTTTGATTTTACTATTAGTGTGAACTGCTGGAGAGTACAGCCTTGTGGATATTTGGAGAGATGTTGTTAATTACATATGGTTTGTGATGATCTCACTGGATAGATGGGGGGAGGGACAGTAGGAAGACAGGGAAGAATAAGGAAGTGTGTTTTGAAGTCTGTCCCTCTCATTCTTTCAAATTTGCTAGCTTGCTCACTCTGTTTGTTTTGATAGTGTCAGACACCTGATGATAATGATTTGCTCTGTGTCGACAGAAGGTTAAATTCCGTTATTGTAAGGAATGTATTAGAATACACAGGATTTTATGGGTGCAGTTAAGATACCTTTGCTCTTGGTAATGTGCGATAAACACCTCTGTTGCTGTACTAAACCTGCTTTTAGACATGAACCCATAAAATGCTGTGATATATATTGTTTGTGGTATATGAATTTACTTTATTTTATTTTGGAATACCCAAAGAGGGTATTTTGAACTATGTGGCTTTTGAGGGTTTGTGTGTAAATGAAATACAGTGCAAAACTATAGCCTGATGGTTTTAGTCAGATATTTTAGGCTAGCTACCAACTTTCCACATGTACAAGCTAATATTATCTTGTTGAGATTTTAATAAAAGCCTGCACAGCTACCATTTCATTAAAGCACTTTGGTTACCCTTCAGTGGAATCTAGAGAACATGTTTATTTTCTGTTGGTATTTAGGAAGTTGCAAATTTACTGATAACATCTTGGTGTTAGCGCCTCACCCACAACAGCTGAATGAAAACATGGCAATGTTAAATTTAAGAGCTTGTGTTAATTTTTTATAGTGCCTACCACAAAGTTACCAAATAGGTCACATACAACAGGCTTCTGTGTTTTACAAATTTTATGTAGGCCATTATTCCATGTCATTTAGCTAGCTATGACAAGAGCTAAGCAACAGTTACCATGGCAACACAGTTAGCCATTGCAGTTATTTTGAGTTAATGGAACAATTATGTTAGTGAAGCTTTGAAAAGGGACTCTTAGTCAAAATGGTTAACAATTTTACATTATAAAAAGAGACAATATGCCATAATAATTGCAATTATTAAAAGAGAACAGTGTGACACAGCTCCTCTTAGCTCAAACCTAACCACACTGTACTTATCTAATTATGTCTTAAATATTGCTGTCAGTCAGTTTGATGGAGTGTGCGTATATAGGACTGTGAAAAAGCTGTATGGCGGCTGTGCTAACAGTAGTGACGTTATTTTTATGGCCGGTAACAGCTCCTCCCTGCTGCCCTTATTAGTGCTATCTGTTTGCTATTAACAACCCTGTATGGACTCATTCCTATAGACACAGCTGCTCCTGAGAGATTAGATTTTGTGTTTGAGCTTTTCCTCATAAATCTGGTACATTAGAAACCTTATTGTGTTCATTAAAGTTGTGGTTTGTGGTTATGTCTAACATGCAATCTCCCACTATCCGGCTAAAGCAAAAGAAGGAGAGGATCATGATGCTTTGATGCGTGCATAGGCCTGATTAGAGGGCACTTTTGCAAACTGTACAACTGTTTCTGATGGGATAGTGCAGTGCTATGTACAGTTGTTTAGGCTGTGTGATGGAGTGAGTTGTATTTTTAGTATATGACATGAGGCACACCCCTTGACAGGAGCAGCTGAAAGGCTGTCTGCTGCTCTGCCTGTTGGATTAGCTTTTGTCTGTGATGTTGCTTAGCTATTGCCATTTTCCCCCCTGCCAAGAGTGCAGGAGGGATGGTAGAAATTATAAATAACATTGTGATTTATTATTGTATGAAAAATAAGATAAAAATTAGAAATTTTTGTATAAATTTATATATACAACATCTATCTTATGTGGTTCATCAGCAAACAAATCGAAGAACAACTGATTAATTTATAATTCATAGAAAATATGAATGGACTACCATTAAAATGTTTTGGATTGGTATTTAAAAAAAAAAAAAAAAAAAAGGAGATCTTTC